ACCAACTTCTGCAGTCTGAAATTGACCCAACATGTAATCAAGATGTATTAATAATTAGTGGTGACTGGAATGTGAAAGTTGGAAAGAACTACTGGAAGAAGCTCCAGTAGTTGGAAAATACAGCTATGGTGATAGAAATGATTCTGGAGATCACATGATAGAATTTTGCAAGAACAATGGCTTATTAATTGCTAATACCTTTTTCAACAACATAAATGGTGTACCTATACACATGGAATTCACAAGATGGAAATCAAATGACTACCTCTGTGGAAAGAGGAGATGGAGAAGCACAATATCATAAATCAAAACAAGGACAGAAGTTGGCTGTGGAACAAACCACCCATTGCTCATATGAAAGTTCAAATAGAAGCTGAAGACAATTAAACAAGTCTATGAGAGCCACAATATGACCTTGATTATATCCCACCTGAATTTAGAGACCATCTGATGAATAGATTTGATGTATTGAACACCAATGACCAAAGACCAGAGGAGTTGTGGGATGACATCAAGAACATCATACATGAGGAAAGTAAAAGGTCATCAAATCGACAGGAAAAGAAGAAAAGACAGAAAAAGGACTTTGCATATAGCTCTGTTAAATTTTATCTTGTTGATTTTAACCTAATTTCCTCACACAGCTTCTCAGCACTCTGGAATATGATTTGAATGACTGTCTTCATTTGTGGATTTATAAAAGTTAAGTAAGAACATAATCACACATAAATCTCCACCCATCCCTGCCTCCTCATTTATATTTATATTAAGTTTTTAAATACAGTTCTTCTGTGTTATACCCAACGAAAATTCACTTATCTCAACACTATGCAGTCCAGAAGTCTCTGTCTTGTTTCAGAAATTTATGAGAAAAACGTGTCAAATGACTCACTCAAGTCAATAAATACCATGTCTTTATCATCTTCTTAATTTAGAGAGTTATGTAGTAACTACATCAAAAGAGGGACAAAGCTTAAAGAAATAATATAAATGAAGGAATGGGATCAGTTTAACATTATTTGTGTTCAGTCAACACACTCCAACCCTTAGTGATCATCACTTTTGTTTTTTAAATTTTCACAATTAATATATTTAATCCTGTGGCCTCCTGTTTTTCCAGGGATTACCTACAAGTCTCTGGCTCTTATTGTCCACTCTTTTCTCCTTTTTGATGAAAATATTTGTCTCCTGTCACCTGGCACATCTCCTTTCTCCATGAACTATCAAAGATCACCCATCAAGGTTCTGTAGTAACATGTGCATCTTATTTGGATTTATTTGAAGCAATTATGTATTTTCTGTCTAGATCTTCACTTCTCCTGGTGTCTTATTTATTTATTAGCCTTCAAGGATATAGAGGACTTTGTACTCAATGCAGAAAACACAGGTTTGCAGTTAAATAGGGGAAACAGACAAATAGATAGAAAATAGTTAAAGTGTATAATAATCCCTAAACGTGCATGGGATCTCATAGGTAAAGATGGGTTAATTTGGGCTGGTGGTAATGGGAAAACAGCATGATGTTTCCATTTTCAAGAGATGACATTAAAGAGGTAAAGATATGAGAGCCCGTAAACAGGCTAGGCTAGATAAACTGAAATAAGGAGTTTGGACAATATTATTAGAGCAATGAGAAGCTATTGAAAGTTTTAGGCAGGGGAGGGACACAATCAGATTTGTATTTTAGAAAGGTCATGATCACTGTTTGAGAATAAAGCTTCTCAATCTATAATGTGTATGAACATCACTTGGAGACCTGATTAAAATGAAGATTCTAACTATGTCTGGGGAGGGCCCCAAGACTCCACATTTCTAACAAGTGAGGCTGGTGTTCATGTTCCATGGACTACACTTTGAGTATCAAGGCTTTAGAGAGTGGCTTGGGAATAAGAAGACTAGAGGCAGACAAACCTAGGAGGAAAATTATGATGACACAAATTGTGGGATGATTCACTGACTATTTGAAGCTTCTAGAAGGACCTTCTTTGTGAAAAATACTCACTAGATGTTCAGAATTTTCCTGTCATTTTTCAGCAATTTCACATGCCACATAAAGAAAGAAGGAGGGTGAGTTTGACTCCAATGTTAATTCTTAATAACTGGCTGGATCTTGAGCAGCTCTCTTTAATTCCACTGAAGGCTCAGTTACCTCATCTCGACTGTGAAATGGAAAGTTATCCTACACCTTTAAGGTCACATTCAGTTCTGAAATATTATAAACCAAAAAACCCAAACTTACTGCTGTCGAGTAGGATCCAACTCATAGTGACTCCTCCTTGGGTTTCCGAGGCGGTATCACTACAGAAGTAGATTGCCCAACCTTCTTTATCAAGAAGATAATCCTTTCTGATTCTGACCTAGCTTTGTTCAGTTAGAAGAGTATGGCTTATTTTTAGGTTAAACACACCTACACACACACACACACATACACACACACATATCCTATTCTTTACAATGTCATAGGAGCAACATAACTATGCCCTTTAATCAAAATTAATGTAGTTCATTTTACATAATTGTAAGTTCCTGAAGTTTAAAAAATAAAGGGAGACAAGGCACTTTCTTATAAATTTGTTGTTGTGTGCCACTGAGTCAATTCCAACACATAGTAACTCTGTAGGACAGAGTACCACTGTCCCATAGGATCTCCTAGGTTATAATCTTTATGGGAGGGATTTCCAGGTTTTGTATCTGCTGGTGGGTTCAAAACCCTGACCTTGTGGTTAGCAGCCAAGTGCTTAAACAATTGTGCCACCATAAAGGGAATTTTTCTCTATTAAAAAGGACAAGGATCTTTCCACCCGTACTTTTAGGAACACATTAAATTCTGAAATCCCTGGAAACAGGAATGAGTTTGGGATAAGACGGTGATAGGAACAACTTTAGGAAAGAATAGGATCAGTATAGTAGTAATGTAGTCTTCTGTGGGGAAGGAGAACTGAGTGGAGAGTCCAAACTAACACTGTTTACTTTTCTTGACAGTGACATGGATTTGCTAGGAGATCTTGAAATAATAATTTATCCCATCACAAATTTTCAGTTTCCTCATCTACAAAACAGAGATGACTTGCTTCCTAGGTATACATATGAAAGTGACAGCAAGCATGTCATAGAGAGACCTTTGGTTTTTAAATTAAAAATTCTATATCCTAGGAAATGTGCTAGGAGTCGGGGCCGACTTGGTGGCAAAAAATAACAACAGGAAATGTACACTTTAATAATATTAGCAGAATATATGAGGTACTGTTAATGCGCCTTGCATATTTTTTCTCATTTGATCCTCATAACAACTCAATTAGATGAGTGTTTTATCTCCACTTTACAGATGTAGAAACTGAGGCCAGAGATGTTAAGTTTCCCAATGTCAACAAGCAAGGAAGGCACAGAGCCAGGATTCAACTCACATCATTAAGCTCTACAGGGATCGAACACACATGACTCAGTGCTACAAAGCTCAGTTCCTTTGCAATAGCAGACATTACTAATTGATTATAGCACTGGCTTTGGAATTTCTTTTGGCAAATACTATAAATGGTAAATCCAGTTTTCCATTCTAAAGCTTATACACCCACTCCTGACTTATTGATGTGGTTAGGTTCCAAAGACCAGGTCGTTATGTCAAAATGGAGGCTGACCATATCAGATCAGAAAATGGAGGTTGATTATATCATTAAATAACTACCAAACCACTGAGAATCATGGCCAATCAAGTTGACACATAAACTCAACCATCACAGCAAGTGCTATTCTTGCCTTACACTTCAGTGTTCCTTATTACCAGTCATATGGTGTGAACATACAAAATAGTCAGACAGTAGGTTTTTCACTATAGTCATAAATGTGAAATGTCAAATATTGACATAGTTGATAAGTGAGGAGTAGATGTAATCTGTAACAGTAGTTCTGATGACCTCATCTTCAGTAATTCTGATTCAACATGTCTACGGTTGGACCTTGAATATTTATTTTTAAATAATTCCCAGACGATTCTGATGATAACAGGTTTATTTATATACCTATGTTCAATGATGATGCCGGGAACTCTGGTGGCATAGTGTCTAAGGCATTTGACTGCTAACCAGAAGGCTAATGGTTCAAACCCACCAGCCACTCCTCAGAAGGAAGGTTGGGCAACCTACTTTTGTAGTGAAACCGCCTCAGAAACCCAAGGAGGGGTCACTATGAATCGGACCTGACTCTATAGCAGTGAGTTTGGTTTGGTTTTGGTTCAATGATGCCAAGTCTTTTACATCTGCCTACTTGTTTGCTCTGTTGGTTTCTTCTTAGAAACACAGGTAAGACCTAACAAAGTAACCTTAGGAGAAAAAGGCAATTATTGACTGATAATATTGATGGGATGCCTACTATATAAAAGACAAGGATAGTACCTTCTTTTATTTTGTGAACCAACAAAATGCTGAAAGGAAGAGCTTGTTGTATTTTTCTGTATCAAACATCTATGAATTTTAGAGAAATATGAGTGCTCTCCCTTGAATGTGACTGTTAAGAGCTTTGAAGGGAAGAAAGGCCTCTTAACTATGCTCTAAGAAGCTCCTGCTTAGAGAAGTATTGAATGTGAACAAGTGTAAGTGAAAATCTTACAATATATGATTCATTATTAATCCCATTCCTTTTATTCATAACAAATAGACTAACAGCCCCTCCCTACAAAACTACTACATGTGGCAGATTATGGACCCAAAGAGAAGAAACAGCAATACTCCATTAATATTTATAAATGTAGCAATGCTCATATTTCCCATCTATTTGGAAAATCAGCTTAAGTAAATAAGGAGTATGGGGAATTATAAAGATGAAAAATATCAGAAAAACAGTATGCATACAAGTTATCAACAGTATTTTACTTCTACTGTTATATCTTAATGACTTAATTTTCCATGGATGACGTTTTTAAAATGTAAATTTCTGAATTAAAATAAAATAAACAAAACTTCATTACTACCCAAGCAATGCAGATATTTTTCAAATGGCAAACTTACATCGTGGGCTTCTCCACAAGGTATCGAAAGTATTTGCTTCCAACGATTTTCACTACCATCTCAGGCATTGCCTCTGATCCACGGGGAGTCTTCCAAACTGCAGACATGATTCTTCACAGAACTCCTTCAAATCCTTGGGGATGGAAAACAAATAGATCATTCCTCTTGGTTTTCTACTGGGTAACTGCAATATCCATGCCAATAACAACAGCAATAATGGTACAAGGAACAAGGACTTTACAGATATTATCTCACTTAACACTTTCAATAAGGGCATGAAGAAGACATTCTTATTTACTATTATTGTTCTTGTTTTACAGTTGTGAGACTGCATAATGTAATTTACTCACATAGCCAGTAATTAGCAGGATCGGAAATTACACCCAAGATGTCTGGAAAGCTCAAATACTGAGCTTCCTGTACTGCAAGATATCATACAAGATATTTGTGAGGTCATAAGGAAACCTGGACTTTAATAAACAATCTATATTTAGCTTCAATCTTCAGTTTCCCCATTTACGAAATCAGGATAATTCCAGTTCTGTTCTCAGGGATTAAGGGTGAATCCAATGAAATAATGTGCATTGCAAAATAAGATTTTTGTTGTAACCTCTCCTGTTTCTGCAACAGTCCATGGAATCCGAAATGGAGATCCTATACCAGATAAGCAACGGGTGTTTGAACAGGTCTGCTACCAAAGGAACCTTAGAAGTTATGTAAACTCGGCCACAGCTGACCACTCCCTTTCAGAGCCTCTCAGAGACTGAAAGTCCTTAGAAATCATTCTAATCTAAACCTTCACTTTACAGATTGGGAAAGCGAGGCTCCGGGATGGTGTGCTATTTGACCAAGGTCACAGAGCAAGTGAGAGAGCTGTTTCCAGCTCTCTGGTCTGATAGCTAAACCACGGTTTTTCCCCATACCCCAGGATCACTTAGCGTGTGAGATGGTCTACGAGGATAACCCTATTCAGCGAAACTTGCAACCTCTTTGAAGCTGTCTGGAAATGTGGGGTTATCAAGCCCCTTCCCTGTCCAGCAGTTGCGCATCTGCCCTGAGACTTTGCCCGGGAGAAAACAGCCAAGGGGACCTTACCGCTAAGGCGGCGTTTCCCTTCCCAGGCAGCTAGCTCAGAGGTGTGTGGTCTGTCCTTCTCTAGGGGAACCTGACACACTAAGATTTGCCGGGATGGGGCGGAGGAGCCCAGTCGGGCCAATCACAGGTCTAGACTCGAAGGAAGAGGCTGCCCGCTGGGTGCTAAGGACGCTAGGACTGTTGCTGGGCGGGTCCAGGTTTCCATCTACCACTGGGAGGAAGGCGGGGCCTCCTAGCCCTAAACCCCAGGGAAAGTTGGCCGACCAAGTCTGGTTGTTAAATTTGTGCCTTGGTGGTGTTTCCTCAAGGAATTGGGATCTTATTTCTTGAAACCCATCTTGTTCACCTGTGTTGCCATGCTTGTCTCCATCTTAAGCTTCATTTCCTTTTATAACATTCGGACAAACACCATCTTTTCTAACCCAGGCTCCTCTACTGTGAGATTTGGGGCAAATCTCTTTCAAATTCAGTTTCCTCATCTGTAAAATGGTGAAAAATAGTAACGTTGACCTAAAAAGGAATTGGTGACAGACTCAAATAAGGATATTATAGTAAGTAGAACTTCTTTCTAGTGCCATCCATATGCCAGATTTTTTAAAGATGCACCCTTATTTCAGCCAGATAAAAAGTATTTGTATTTTAACGATAAAAAAAGGATTTGTAGTATTCAAAAATGTCCTTCGAGTTTGACAGAGGCAAGTGGCAAAGCTAAGATTTGAATGTTCAGCGCTGTTTCCCAAAGTCCCAGGCACTGTTTATTATTCTGAAGGACTTTGTTTTTATTATTTATTTTTAAAATTCTTTACATTTATTTTATTATTTATTTATTTTATTGTGCTTTAGGTGCAGATTTACAGAACAGAATTTGTTTTACATTCAACATTTTGTGTATATTTGGTTTCAGTCCCCAATTACCATCCCCAACCCTAATTCACTCTCCTTTCCCTTCTCAGTAACCCCCTCCCAGCCCCTTGTCCTTCTTAGTTATGCACTCCTGTGTGTCCTGCTTTTCTGCTGGGTTAATGTTGTCCCTCTGGTGCCTCACAGTCAATTGCTCTAAAGGATGTATCTCCACAGAGTATATAGGTGCATTGCCCTGGGTTAAGTGGTCTACATGTATGTCTTCTTTACTATTGGGCTGAGAGCCAGCCCTTGGGAGTGAGTTTTATCTCAGGCCCAAAGTGTATTCCAGGGCCATAGTCTTGGGGGTCCCACCAGACTCCATCTGACAAGTAATGTGGTCATTATTGTGTCTTGGGATTTTGTTCCACGTTTTTCCTCCCACTCTATCGATGATCTCCAGTTTTGATCCCTTCCGGAGTGGCTGGCATTGGTAGCCAGGCACCATCTAGTTCTTCTGGTCTCGAGGTCCATCATGTCTTAGGGCTGATTGTTTCCAAATGCCCTGGGTTTTCTTCACTCTTCTTCGCTTCCAACGATAGGAGACCATTAGCTGCATCTTAGATGGCTGCTCAAAAGTTTTTAAGACCCCAGTTGCTACTCACCAATGTAGGTTGTGGAACAAGATTTTATGTATTCTGTTGTGCCAATTGGGTCTGGTCCCCCAATACTATGGTCCTGAGTCAGTAGATCCATTGGATCTCTCTTCCACAGTGTCTGGATGTCTATGAGGGATTGCTCTAAGTCTGTCTTCTGTTGTTTCTGTAATGATTGCAGGTATCTTATATCACTAGTATCTGTGCAAGATTAGCCTCAGCTGGGTCTGTCTTTGGTCTAGAGTACAATCCTGTTCACTGACCCCCATCTGATCTTCTCAGTTGTCTGTGTGTTTATCTGTAGCCTGGTATTTGGTGTTAATTGTAATGCAGTAGTGTGGATATACTGGTATTAGCCTCTGTCATCTATATCTTATGTGCACAATTTGGTGTCCTCCCTTTCCCCAGTGTTATCATGCTGGTCACAGACTCTTTCCATACCATCCCTCTCCTTACCCACCTCAGCATGTGACCCACAACTAGCCCAAAATTATCCCCTCCCCTTTCCTCTTCTCTCTGGTAACCTACAAAGTGATTTCCCTTCCTAAAGCAAACCATTCCTTGTCTTTTTACAGTAATGAGCTCATGCAATATTTGTCCTTATTCTGAAGGACTTTAGCAAATGTGGTTAAAGGCCCTTTAAATTGCCTCCAAACTAATGTTATTTCATCATCATCAACAGCAACAGCTGTCGCCTCAGAACACATACCTGCTGACTCCTGCCTTCTGGCTGTACGGTGCTTTGTAGTTTACCATCTACTGGTGCATGAATCTAGAGCAGGAGCAGACATTCAGTTGTCCTCCAAGGGCTCAGTCTCTAGGGGGAGAAACACATGGGCACTTTCTAACTATATAAAGTGCCATGAGAACAGAGAGGGACAATTCCTTTCATGTTGCTGCCACTTCAGTCTTCCCAAGCACAGCTCTGATATAGCCCTTGTTTGCTGAATGTCTCAAAGGGCTCCCTACCTGCCATGGAGAACATCCATGGTTTCAAGGTCTTTCATGCTCTGACCTCAAGCTAAATCTCTAGCTTGAGTTACCACTATTTCTCCCAGTTTTATGTGCCAACCAACCTGGTCTACTCACTGATCTGAATCTATTCTCATTTTCCTGCCTTGTGCCTTTGCTCATTCTCTCTACATATAATTCCCTTTTATCTCCCTATCATATCAGCCTGCTTATCCATTCTTTAAGTTCCATCTCAAATGGTCAAGGATATGTATGTATTTGAGAGTCATACACCAGGGTTCAAATCCTAGCTTTGCTAATGCAGTGTGTTGTTGGGTATATCACTTAAAATTTTATATGTCTCAGTTCCCTCTTCTGTAAAATCAGGATCACTTATTGTGAAGACTAAATGCAGTACTGGGCAGTGTTTTGTTCTGTTGTGCGTGGGATTGCCATGTGTTGGGGAGTGACTTGACAACAGCTAACAGCAACATTGACAGCAAGTAAGTTAATATAAGTAAATCACTTAGAACAATGATTTATGCATAGTAAACAATATAAAAGCTTGCTCTGATCATTATCGTTATCTCCTACAAAGCCAAAACAGAACTGAGATGGAAAGTGGTTTTCTTCACCCTCTGTATCATTTGTGGTTCCCTTCTCATAAAACGAGTCACTCTGCCTGATAGAATAGCAATTTGTTTGCACTGGTTTTCACATCTTCCTGGACCATGCTTGTGGTAGACTGGTAATCTTAAAACCAGTCCCCAGACTCTGTGAATATTATATATGACCAAAGGGATTTTGCAGATATTAAATTAAGTATTTTCAGATGAAGATATTGTCCTGGATTATCTTGATGGGCCTTAAATGTAATCACAAGTGTCCTCATAAGAAAGAGGCAGAGAGATATTTGATTACAGTGGAGGAACTAGTAATTGTGACAATAGAAGCAAGACTTTGGAGTTACTCTAGTAAGAGGTTATCATTAAAGGAATGCAGGGGGCTTCCAGAAGCAGGAAAAGGCAAGGAAATGGAAGCAGCCCGCCTACATCTTGAATTTAGCCCACTGAAACTTATTTTGGATTTTGACTCCCAGAAATGTCAGAGAGAAAATTTGTGTTGTTTTAAGCCATGAGGTTAGTGGTAATATGTTACAGCAACCATTGGAAACCAATACAGTGATATTGAAGGATCTTTAGTTTCTTCTTCTTTTGTAGTAAGTGTCCTATAAAATTTTTTTGAATTAGTAAATGAAGGGGAATAGAACAAACTTTAAACATTGAAATTTCATTCTGAAGGAAACTTTTTTTACTAACTATGGCACTTATTGGAATTTTGTTGACTCAACACACTTTCCCAACCTTCCTTTCTGTGACTAGAACTCTTTCTATTGGGAACCTCTTTTCCCATTTCAAGAAGTCTTTGTCAGGGGTGTCAATAAAAACATTACTCCCTTCCCGCTTCTTCATACATCTGATCACACTCTATGACTCAAGTAGGCCAAACAGAGTTATTTATGACCATTAATACTGACATTAGAGGAAGATGTCTTCTGTATTCTC